GAGAGAGAGAGAGAGAGAGAGAGAGTTTTCTTCTTGACAGATAGAAATGACCCGATAGATAAGCGAAATAGATAGATAGATAGATAGATAGTTTTCGTCTTGACAGATAGACATAAATGAGCCGCTCTATGTCCGAAGGGGAAAAACTGGCCGGGTAAGAATGCACCTGTGTGCATGTACGTCTAGATGCAGATTATGCACCTGGTCAACTACACGTCCAGGTCCTTCTTGACGGAGTTAGCTTCTGCATTTCCGCGCATACAGCATGCAGTCAGTTTTCCATCAGTTTTTCCATTTTAATTTTTTGAAACAAAGACTTTTAACAAATCCATAATTAATTTTTGACTTTTAACAAATCCGTAATTAATTTTTGTGAACTTCGTAAAAACTTTTGATACCGTACGTGATCCATACAAGGGGAAGGGGGGGGGATCCATACAAGGGGGGAGGGGGGGGTGAGGGAGGCGACACCTGGGGTTGTTTAGAGCGTGTGCTCGGACCAAACACCACTACGTAGCAGACTCACAAGCCCACTCGGAGTAAGGAAAGGGCTGCCACCCCAACACCCCTCCCCCCGCCCCCCCACTCCCCCGACAATAAAAGACAAACAAATACTCAGCGACAAAAGATAGCCCAGCGCTCAAGATCAGTCAACGTATCACCAGAACCCGAATCAGATTAACATTATCCATATCCTTATCCATATCCATATCCTTATCCATATCCATATCCACACCCATATCTTATTGATTGCTGACCTTCCAGCGATAGAGCTATGGTGTTTGCGACCTCCATCTTGAGAGAGTTCTTGACGTGTCCGATCGAACCCGAGCCGCACGAAGTCACCGATTCTCTCTCTCTCTCTCTCTCTCTCTCTCTCTCTCTCTCTCTCTCTCTCTCTCTCTCTCTCTCTCTCTCTGTGTCTGTGTGTGTGTGTGGCGGAGAGCTCCAAACGTCTGCCGAACTGGAAGTCAAGGCTAAAATAACCGCACCACAGTTTGCAACGATGCCTATCCTTTTTCTTCTTTATCCTTCTCCCACTCCTCCTCCTCCTCCTCCTCCTCCTCCTGCTGCTGCTGCTGTCCTCCCTTTTCCCTCTCTTCACTTCAGAGTCCACTCATTCTCCCAATTACTCACTTCTTTGCGCAATGCAATTATGCAATACGCTCCTTCCTCCCCCTCCTGTCCTCCCTTTTCCCTCACTGGACCTCCTCACCACCCTTGCTTCCTCCCTCCCCCTCTCCCCTTCCCTCTTCCTCCTTCCCGCTTTGTCATCAAACGTCACAAGCCCTCCCGCTGGTCTCGTTTGCGAAACGTCACTCTCTCTCTCTCTCTCTCTCTCTCTCTCTCTCTCTCTCTCTCTCTCTCTCTCTCTGTGCCTCTGCTGCCTCCTCTCTCTCTCTCGCCGTGATCCGCTTGCGCCCTCTCCGTCCACTGCCGCCGCTTCCGGGGGAAGACCGGAAAGCGAGCGGAGTTTCCGAAGAGCCACGCGGAGCGAAGACGTCGAGAGTGAGATCAGCCAGACAGAGAGAGAGAGAAGAGAGAAAAAGACAAATAGAGAATGACAGAAGGGGCACAGATGGACGGACCACCATCTTAATATGTATTTCCTCTCCTTCCTCTGTTCTGTTCTGTCTGGTGAGTTGAGGATGTTTGCTGGCTCAGTGCCAAGCAGCATCTACTAAGTGGCGGAATGATTGACACATGTATTCATTCTTCACAAACAGATCAGGCGTTCAAATCCCACAACACAACCAGCGGCTGCTCTTCTTTTTTTTTCTTGCTTTGCTCTGCTTGTTTCTTGATTTCCAGTTGGCGTAGCCCCTGAGCTTCCTATGTTCGCCTCCCACCGAAGCAGATGAGTGTCGGTCGGATAAACATTTGGTTTCGGCAAGAAAAAAATAAAAAAAATCCAGCCACTGATTGTGTTGTTGTTGTTGTTGTTTTTTTTTTTTAAGGGCGATGGCCTTGAGGTATTATCATCGGACTAACCAGCCCAGGTAAATTCAATCTTGTGTGTAATCTGACATCGGGTGGCCTTCCTTGATTGCCTTCAGGGAACCCCCAACGGGGGACATCGGCCAGGGGGCAGCCGGTGGCAGAGGGACCGAGCATCATCTGAGTGGCCAGTCGCTGTGCCTCCCCGATTACCCCTCCCCCTATGAACATCAGCAGAGACTGCTTTTTAATGCCAATTGGGGGGACCAACGTGCTATCTCTAGGTGGCGGGCGCCAAGCATGCCCAGGAAGGTACATGAGACCAATGGGGATTGAACCCACGACCTCCTGAATGCCACTTGCGTGCCTTACCAACTGAGTTAGGCCGCTGGATCACTGATTGTGTTGTGAGATTTGCTAGAGACTACCCAAAAAAAAAAAAAAAAAAAAAAAAAAAATGCTAGAGATTAAATATATATATATATATATATATATATATATATATATATATCGACGAGCCCAAAGTGCTTCAATTATAAACGATAATTGCCTCTGGAGTCGTGTCATCTCCATCAAGAGATTGGAGCCTTATGCAAGGGAGAAAAAAGAACAGATGGGAGCCTTATACCTGCCACGTGGCTGAAAGGCACACACTAAGTGTCGAGATACAGGTCATGAGCTCAAATCTGGACATTCAATGATGTTAGCGATTGCGCAACCTGCGTTCCATATACCTTTTTCTTTCCCTCCTTTCTCTCTGGGGCCAGGTCCCACTAGCAGCGTTGAGCTACCTCAACGCCTGAATCTGGACGTGTTTGTGCAGAGCTGCAGTTCAGGAAACTCAACACCATCTCTGCACATCTCCGCAAAAGCGTCCAGATTCAGGCGTTGAGGTAGCTCAACGCTGCTAGTGGGACTTGCCCCCTGGTTTAGAGATACGAGTAGCGGTGGGTGAAAAAAAAAAAAAAAAAACAGTAGTAGTGGTGGGTAGGTCGTGAAAGGTGAAATTGAGAGAAACTAAAGCTATATTCGTAAAATTAAAAAAAAAACTATATTCGTCGCTCAATTTCACATTTCAGCCTATACAGGGGACCCCTGGGGCCTGGTCCCATTAGCAAAGAGGATTAGATTTAATTCGGGAATCTGGACGTGTTGGCGGACAGATGCGGAAAAGCTGATCAATCTCAATTTTCCACATCTTTCCACAAACAAGGTCCCATTAGCAAAGAGGATTCGATTTAATTCGGGAATCTGGACGTGTTGGCGGACAGTGGCAGAAAAGCTGATCAATCTCAATTTTCGGCATCTTTCCACAAACATGTCCAGACCCAGAAATTAAATCCAATCCTCTCTTTGCTATTGGGACCAGGCCCCTGCAAGCATAGCCCCCCTAATCGGCGGTGTTCAGGGAGTAGGGTGGCGCAGGTGGGGGGCTAAGGCTTGGATCCCACTATTGTTAGTGAGGCAATTTTGGGTAAAATTTCGGATCCCACAATTCACCAGGGCTTTCGGACCCGAAATAAAATTCGGCTGTTTCTAGCCGGTGTACCTGTCGTGTCAATCGTACCGTGACACTCGCCGCGATGAGACCTCAATTTTTCCCTGATCCCTAAAAGCCGCCAGCCCCCTGCCCTGTTCCCTAAAAGCCGCGAGCACCAAAAAAACAAAGTTTCTTTTTTTTTTTCCCGTTTACGGCGGCGCGATTGGGTCCGATGCGAATGGACCAACATATTTCGGCAGGCTTTTTGCGAAAGCCCCTTGAAGGATGGGCCTGTGGAGTCCAAAAAAAATTATACGGTGCGAACGGGAAGGTCCCTGCTCCTACGGGACTTTTCCGACTTTTTGTTAAACGCGCGATGTGGGATCCAGGCCTAACACAAAAGGAGCGAGCATTTGCCGGTAGTTGCGCCTCCGATCCACTTTTGTTTTTACTTTTTTTCTTCTCTCAATTTCACCTCACACTACCTACCTACCACTTCTCCTAATTGTAGTAGGCATACGGGGAACCCCGTAGCAGCCAGGGCATAGTCCCACTAGCAGCGTTGAGCTACCTCAACGCCTGAATCTGGACATGTTTGTGGAGACCTGCAGTTCATGAAACTCAACACCATTTCGGCACATCTCCGCAAAAACGTCCAGATTCAGGCGTTGAGGTAGCTCAACGCTGTTAGTGGGACTTGCCCCCCGAACCATGTTCAAGAGAGAACATACGGGGGCTGCTCCCGACCTGCAGGTGGGCCATACCGGCTAGGTAGGGGACAGCCCGTAGCATTAGGGACCATGCCAACAGGACCAATCCCTGTGCCTCCCCTCAGGTGGTGGTCCCCTCCCCCTTTTTTGGTTTTTTGTTTTGGCTAACAGCCACCGAGGCAGCTTGAGGTGCCTGTAGGAGAAAAAAAAAAAAAAAAAAAAAAAAAAAAAAAAAAAAAAGAGGTACCTGTAGGAGCAGTCACTTCAAGCTGGTCCGCGGGGAGGCTCCATCTATTGGTGGGGACCAGCACCTACTGGGAAACGCGCTCAGCGTCCCAACTTACAAATATCACGGGATACACAGTAATTATACATACAGGTCTCTCTCTCTCTCTCTCTCTCTCTCTCTCTCTCTCTCTCTCTCTCTCTCTCTCTCTCTCTCTCTCTCTCTCTCTCTCTCTCTCTGTGTG